CTTTTTCCTCTCATGGGTCTTTGTTCTGATTAATTATAAGTTGGAGAAGTAATGTGTGATGGCAAGACTTTAGCCGCCACTCAAATTTTACGTCGTTCTGTCTCTAATGGCGACCACACACGACTCTTCCGGTTTACCTTCTGCCTCTTTCATTCCTCGCTCACACCTTTATTAGGTCCCACTTGGAAACAGTTTTACGACCAGTGGAGTGAATTATTAATTTGCTGCTCATAAAGCAGGAAAAGTTCCTCACACTCCCTTAATTAATTTTAGGGGTTGCTAAAAAAGCATATGGGTTTCTTACTTTCTGAAAGACACCGCACATATTTCCCAAGTGTACGTCATGAAATGCTTGTTCCGTCCCGGATTAAAAGTGTGGAATCCGGGCTCTTAATACTCGTCGCCAAGTATTTCGTTTGTCTTTCTATTCAGTTTTATTTGAAAAAAATATTAAATGAAATGATCTCGATAGGTCACGCATCAGATTTATATTACGGATAGTTCCTACTTAAGCTAACTATCCTCTTAATTTCTGTTTAATCGGTGTCATAATTCCTTTGGTCATTTTCTAATGTCCCTTGGATATGTTACAAGAAAGCTTTTTAGATGAAGCCTTTAATTTTTCGCGCAGAGATAAACTCAACTAGAGGTGTTGATAACGCCGCCATAACAACTTAAGTTGATCAGTTTGTTAGTTGGACTAGTGGTCAATGGAGAGGAAGACGTGGAGGGAAATAGCAATCCTTCCTCTCTACCGAAAACCTTCTCTGTTTGGTCCTTTATTTAGAAAATGAGTCAGTATAGCCTGCTTAATCGGTGAAAGAATGTGGAATAAAAGTGATATGAGTTGGTCTCGTTAATTCTTTTTGTCTTTCCTTTTTTTAAGACCACCCACTAGTATAACGGGAAACGGGGTTCCTCACATCCCTTCTTACTTTCATATCCCCTTTCCTCACTTTCCTCTATTGAAATTGGTAGAACTCATAGTTTAATGCAAATTTCATTGTTAAATTTCTCTTGTTTTCGGGAACAGGGATGTGTCTGTGTCGCTGCCTATCACGACAGAAAACAAATTTCTGCATTTGCAGAAGGAATATTGATGCAAGAAAATGAATTTTGTGATATAATTTCCTGGTCTGTAGGGATTTGTGAGTTAAATCATTGTTGTTATTCATCTTGGGTGTTTCTTTTTACTGCTGAAAATGCTTTGGTAGTGGAGTCTTTTGCGAAGTTTTGCACTTTTATTTCTATTCTACAGTTGGGCCGTCGTGGGATTGCGACTTCTCTGTCTAATTCGTTCCATTCCTTATAATTAGAGCTTGCGAGAATAACACAAGAGAGAGCAAGAGGAAGCGGGAACGCAGAGTGATATACTCATCGCATGGGCTAGTGCAGCAACGGTTTCTCTTTCCTGGAGACAAGATAATTGCTTTTCATATTCTTTCTTTGACGATGTGACATTAATTTGCTCTCTTTTTAAATGTCCCATGGGAAAATAAAGCGATTTTCAAGGCGTGGTCAGTGTTCGAAAAATTGTTCTCTTAAACGCCCTGTTTTGAGCGGAAAGTGTTTTGAAGCCTACCATTTTCGTTGTCTAAATTGATTTTACTGAAAAATTAGCTTATTATTGAAGTCTTAAATCTGCCTATTGGTGTTGTCTTTTTACCTTTTAAAGACGCTAACTAACTCGCACCTTTGAGGATATAAGTTGTGTGTCAATTTGTGTCTTAGCTCTATTTAGCAAATGTGTGCTTGTAGCTGACGCTGAAATGAGAATGTTTTATTTCCCTTGAGTATGTCTTTGCTTTTCACTCTACTCATTGTTACACATGCATGTGTGGAAGAGTTTTTTTTACAAAAACGTCGAAACGTTCTCACCTGAATTCCTTTGAGAGAAGGTGGTGCGAACAATTTTCTAGATGTTTTGTTTTGCCCCAGTCCCGGGAGCTTTTGCAAATAGCTTTTTCGTCCCCCATGCGCGCGCACATACTCACTTGACCAGAGAACAAATTATTTTTTTCTAAAAGCTTTAGCCCGCACCTCAATGCGTCTCTAAATTTCATGAGTCTCAAAATTTCATGAGACTAAAATATACCCAAGTCTATTCTTTTTTTCCTTGTTATGATTTAAAATCTCATTTTAAATGCGAAGGGCAGGAAAGTTGTCGCATTTCACTGCCTATCTAACAAGCATAATTATTCCCTATTTGATTTGGAGATTTCTCCACCAATGCAATGTAGTTTTCAAAACCTTTAGTGTTAAATGTTTTTGAAATAGCCTTTCTGTTTAACAGGGCGACTGAAAATTACACATGCCTTTGTGTCTTAGATTTCTCAATCAGACACACGAGTATGGAACCGGTGTCCATGAGTTTCGTTTGAAAATTCCTGAAGACCTCTGCATAGATTCAAGCAAGAATCCCTATATTGAATCATCGCCATCTTTCAAATTGACCGACCAATTTTTGACACTCATGACAGCATCGAGCCTTCGAAAATTTATTGAACCTTTTTGACGTCCGGCGATCTTGAAATTTGGCTATTTTTCGATCAACATCTGTTTCAATGTCATTAAAGACTATGTAGATTTTGATTCTCTAAATAAAAGTAGACACTTACTCTATTACGGTACCCGGGTTTCAATTATGAAGCCTTCTAAAACACATAACTTTTTTTTTAAATCCACCTCTTTTTTACCAATATGTGGTACCGCTTCCAGTTTAACCAGCCTTTTTTGCGATTCGATAAAACTAAGGTTTTTTGCACATCTCAGCTTGTGATAAATCGCAGATATCACGAAAGGACATCTAATCTCCTTTTCCAATGGATTAAGAGGTTAACTGTTCAATTTAACTAATCAAGTTACTCACACCCTGCCTTATTTAACTGAGTAGCTTATTTTGTTTATCCTCATCTTCGGTCCGTAACGAGTTTGCTTGCATAAATATGGTTTCCCTACCATGTTCTAGTATTTGGTAATCCCCAAACAAACTCATTCACTCAGAACAGGCCATACATCTAGACTACTAAGTTTAGCAACTCGACTTAGCTCTTGGTTACTGTGTTTGCCCATTTTTTGCATGTTTGCAGTGCCGCGTGTTATAAAGACGGGTTCTGCTCGAATGAACACGGTTGCCCGATTCGATGGGTGGAGAGGGGTGGGCGGGGAGTTTATTTTCTTCTAAACGCTTGCTGAGACATCGCAACTCGATTAGTATATGGTCGTTTTATTGCTTCATGTTTGCTGACCTATTTGCAAATATGTCGAAGTATTCTCCCCTTCTCTTCAATATTATTTTGCGTAACATCTACACAGGAACTATTATTCACTCTTTGAGTATATGTTTCATATCTATTTAAAGTGGTTTTGGATTTGCAGCAATGAATAATATGAGCATATAAGTTTCTGCTCAATAACGTCTTTATTAATACCCTTGTTGACCAATTTCTGGTCGATGTGGTTGTAAACATAGCAATGCTAACAAGAGTCAATATAATTTTCTTTTATGCTATTCCATGGCTTATTTCAACTGTCTAATAATGACATAATTATAAATTTGAGTTCTAATTGAACTTTTCATCTGTTTACAGTATCACAAAATGATTGCGATGTGAAGAGGAAGAAAGCCTTTGTTCTATTCTATAAACTTTCAAATCATCATTGACATTCATTAGTTTTTCGATTATAACATTAATAATCTGATCTATTTACGCTTGTTTCCTTTCACTGATTGCACGCCGGTAAATGTGGCCTCAACAACTGCTTTCATTAGGTGTATTTACACTCAATTTTCACTAGACTTCATTTCAAACTAGGACAGAAGGTGGAAAAGACGAGGGGTTTATGTGGGTTTCGGTACATAGAGAACAATTCGAAGCAGTAGTGATGTGCTGGAGCTACAATGTGTCCCAGATAATCAATAACTAAGTTTAATTTTGGTATATTGTAAGCCATCCCTGTACTATTGTAAAAATAATTGGGTTTCAGTCTGATAAAATTTCATTTTTAGATGGCCTTTAGTTCTTACTCTAAATATGCTGTGATGGGTTTCATTCAAACAATCTTCCATCAATTATGCCAATAAAATCACCGGAATTTGTGGTCTTTGATTACCTCACCATCTCCCTGATGCCACATCAAAACTTAAACTTCTTATAATCTGCTTACCAGTTATTTTTCCTTAGTACCTTTTCGTACTTTTGTCAGTTGCCACCAATTATTTCACCATGTTTCAACGACCTACCTCCTTGTGCCTGTATAATCTGTTTCTCTACATGTATATATCATCATCCTTTTTAGAATTTGTTTAACCAGCCTTTTTTGCGATTCGATAAAACTAAGGTTTTTTTGCACATCTCAGCTTGTGATAAATCGCAGATATCACGAAAGGACATCTAATCTCCTTTTCCAATAGATTAAGAGTTTAACTGTTCAATTTAACTAATCAGGTTACTCACACCCTGCCTTATTTAACTGAGTAGCTTATTTTGTTTATCCTCATCTTCGGTCCGTAACGAGTTTGCTTGCATAAATATGGTTTCCCTACCATGTTCTAGTATTTGGTAATCCCCAAACAAACTCATTCACTCAGAACAGGCCATACATCTAGACTACAAGTTTTTGAAGTCACTTGATCATATATTTTTCCTCTCCTCGATTTAACTTAATCCAAATTGGTTAGAGAAGCGCTTTTTTCATGAGCGGCGATATCATCGATGTGTTATTCAACTAGTTTTGAGATAATCTTCATCCAAGCATATTTTTGCTGTCACTTCTGAGAAGTGGAGTTATGTATACCAAGTTATTTCCATTCTTTTTTTGAAATCTTCAACTTCTCTAAACTATTTTCCACTTGTTCGTCTACTCATTCAAATATTATCTCCGCTTGCTTCCTACATTGAGGTCAGTAATCTGGCAAATTTTGTCTAAATTATTGACTTCATGGTTGCTCCTTATCAGTTGTCATATAATTTCAAGGTGGCGTTTCGGAGATTTTCATAATGAGACCTATTCCAGGAACTTTCCGGTTTGGATGGGTGGTGTTTTGGGACACAGTTCTCTTCTCCCTTTACTACACCGCTTATCGAGCTGATTAGTTTTACATAAATAAATCTCCTTCCTCATAAAACAATGGAATCTCGCCATGTGTGTGGTCTGTGGGGTGTGCTGGTTAATTTGTGCATTTGCATTTTGACAATTATGAATGTGTTTGTACTGAAATGCTTTTTAGAAGTTTCATAGTTGGCTTATTCACGCTAACTATATGATATCTTCTTTGCCTAACGAATACAAAGTTCAAAATTGTTTAAATCGTGGTCACTAATATGCTTCACTTTCCTTCTTATTGTACCTTCAAAAACGTGGAGCCTTTCGGTCTCAGGCATATCTCAATTTCGATTTTAAACATTGCTCCAGTTTAATTAAGTATACAAAAATTTGGTCTTTGAACTAATTACTAAACTCTGAAAAAATCTAGCGAATTCGGATATGAGTTGAAAATAAAGTATAACCGTTCAGTTAAATTTTGGTCAGCTAAATAATTTTCTATAAATCAGAGTTCTCGTAAGAAAAATTGTGTTAGTCTCTTTTTCAACTTATTTTTTGTGCATTTATTTAAATGTGTCTCTATGATTTGAAAAAATAGGCTAGTTCAGATTCGATTGAAATTGTATAGGAAATAAAATGCCAAAGTTGAAATATTTCCCCGAATTTCAATATTTCTCTTGCTTTACTATTGTCTCTGTGCGCTTCCAGTACCGATGTAAATTGGTGACTTATCTTACTCTTCCATAAGCTACACTTTATGCATGAATTCCATTTTAAGCAAAAGGAATTGATTCTGTGTTATTGCATTAATTTTGTGTCTGTGTGCCGTTCTGAGTGTTTATTTACCAATCCGAATACCATGATATCGATGCGTTGGTTGATATTGATTGGTGGAAATAGCCAAAGGTAATGTTTATTGTTGGATTATTTCTCCTTCAGGAAAGTGGTTGAATTCACTTCTCTCAATCAGCTTGAAAGGGTATTGTAAATAGACTCTAATGATTTAACGTATGTGGTTAACGTTTACAAGTGGACTTAGTCACTATGAACCACTGACAAATTATTCTTTCCAAACTGAGAGGATTGTCACCTTCGAATTTTACAAAACCGGAAAGCAAGACTCAGTACTAATGTTATTTTAATAAGACCTAACAGTCATACATAACAGGTTGCGCATGCAGTAACTGAGTGGGTGACAGAAAGTGTGAACAAAATCTGCCGATGTTAATAGAGAATCTGTAAAACATAAGGTCTCGTTTTCATGAAAGTTCTAGTTTCACTTTGGAGGCGTACCAGCAGAAAAAACCTTTTTCGAGACATGTAAAATAGGTTCTCTACCGTTAATGTATTGTTTACGTTCTGTCAATTAGAGGCCACCCCTGATTTGCTTGGTGTGACCTCTCTTGAGGTCTTTTATAAGCATTCTCATTCTCTTTCATCATGAGAAACTGACTTCTGTCTGTTTTTTGCCCTTATCTAGGCTAATAATTACAATTATTATTACTACCCTTCTCATTATTATCTAATTCTGACGGTTATTTTTTTCCTTAGTGATGTTTTCGAGGAATCTGATGAAACGTCAAGTCAAGATTCAACGGAAGATAACGTAGCCTTCATTCTGGATCTTCTCAAACTTCTGATCTCTGGAACATCTTTGGAAAACTTCTTGACTTCGAAAGAGTAAGCTCACTGCTATCTTCTGTTATCATAACGGGTGCTTATGCACTATTAGTACCTTCACTGCTTTAGACACTGCGTAATTAACATCGTTGTGTGCTTAGCTTGAAATATTCTACCTGATAACCAGATGTAGAACATCTTTTATATCTGATTTTGCAACTGATTTTATTCTGATAAAGGAGCTTGGTCACCATGGAACAGCGTTTATTTATGCCTTACAAGCGAGTGCGTTTCTGCGTCATACAACTTTGGATCCAGTCTTGTTTGTAACGTCCGCATATGTGGATCTAGTAGTAGTCAATAGAATTCTCCACTTTTATATTATATAGTTCGTGTTCAACTAATGAAGCTACTATTGACGTGAGATTGCTGTGTCTTCTGTAGATATTACATTAGATCAATTGAAGTCGTGAACCTAAACATCTTCATTCATTGTTGGCAGTCACATATTCTCTCCTAATTATTTTTCTTGAATCATGATAGGAAAAAAGTTGTAGTATTGTAGGCTGATTGACGCCCATAAGAACTGTATTTTATCTTTGCGCTATTTTTTCAACACTTCTTATTGTGACAATAGCTGTGACAATATAGTGCCGTACGAAGATGTAGCCGATCTGCTGTCTTTGCTGTATACTGGGTGTTGTTGAGGTTTAATCTATGGAAAGAATATTTTTCTCTGCTTTGAGATTTATAGAATGTTCTCTAGTCCTATTAGGCATAGGTCATATTTAAGTATTAAGTATTCTATTAAAAGGTAGCACTTTCATTTGTATATTTATTTCAAGTGGCGTGCTTCAGATGCTATCTTTCGACTTCCATTAGCACAGTTTGCCGATGCAACTTGGAGAAGGAGAAGAAGTGAAGGGGTTGTGCTCACGTCTCCCTTTCAGTTATCGCTCTCTTATCTGGTTAAAGTCTCACCGGAAATTTCGTCAGTCATTCCTCACCTTGTTGTGAATAGCTCATCCGTTTGGATAAATAGTGAAAGGGAAGATTTTGAATGCGATAGTTGTAATAATGAGCAACTTTGCAAAAGTAGAACTCTTTCAAACACGTTCCTTCCAACGAATGGGTGTTATTATTATGAAAAGATGCATTTTTCCCTTTCTTATTTAAAAGCTTCAGTTAAAGTGTGCTAATTTTGCATCGAAAAAAGCTTATAACCTACTTTTACACGTCGGAAATTATCCTGTTTTCCGCTAACAATTTGCCCAAATCTCGGTGTACTCCAACATTTACAATAATAATAACAGCAATAATGTCGTTTTTTTTCTAATGATGTGATAAGTGTACTGTGCTCTCCTTCATTCTCATTTAAATGCATTCTTTTAAAAAACATTGTTATTGAGATTCTACGTATGTGTATCAGTGACGCATTGGTCATAGGTCACTGCTGCTAGGTGCTAGAGATTGAAAATTGTTCGTTACATTCTTTTTTACGCTCTTTATGATAAATGGGGGCAGCAATATGGCACCGTTTGTAGTAAATTGAATTACCATTTTTTTCTCATAGAATGGAAGTGATTAGATTAGCGTTTCCTCTAATAGGTGCAACACTTGTCCCCATCGAGTCCTGTTATTCAGACTCCATAAGTATTTAGCGCTTTATCTTCATGCATTAAGTATTAGTAAACTATCTTCAACTTATTTTGTCGTAAAAATCGACAAATTTGCTCGCTGTTTGCCTTGTACTGCCGAATATCATGTTGCTACCTTAATAAAATCTCACCGGAAATGTTTGTGGGGGTAGTTTGAGCGTTAGGACAATTTGTATGACCAAAAAACCCACCATCCTCACGTGAGTTCTATTCCGCTGCGTGGTTTTTGTTTCTATGACTTTTTTCAGCACTAATGTGGTTTCAGACTATCGCTTGGTTTGTATCATTATTATTATTATAGATAGATAGATAGATAGATAGATAGATAGATAGATAGATTTGTAGTAACATTACGGATTGACTAAATCCTCCGATGGCATCACAAGATTTCTTATTTTGGGTATTGACTTTTTAGTAACTGAAACAATACGAAATCGTGCAAAAAATTATTTCAAGCAGTGAGAGTGATTTTGTACAAACGCGTAGTTATGGTAGAGCTTTTTCTATCCATGCAGTCGCAGAAAGATCTTCTAATAAGAATGTATCAGGTTCTTCTATTCGTGTTACTGATGAACTTTACATGAGCAGTACTTTTTAACATTTCATTGATTGAGCGTCATTCGTTTGCTGTGAGATGTCGGATATCACAATATTTCCGTTTTAACTCTCTGTTTATTTCAGTTATATTCTTGAGAATATATTTTCTATTTTGAGAAATTATGTCGGCCGGCTTTTAGTCGCGTAGCTTCAATTATGATTTGAAAAAAAACTGAAAAAATTCCCTTTAAGATACTCGGGATTCAGACTTGGTTTGGCTAAACAGGTTTTGACCTTCCACATTTCACTCAAGAAAATCAAAAAGAAACTTCTGGCTAAATAAAACTATCCCTAACAAAATTTCTCAACTTATTTAAGAGGCGAAATTCTCACTGATATTGACAAAATTTCTGCAATAATGTACTGCATTTTCCCACCTTGGAGTCGTTTTGACTTTACAGCTCCTCTCGGTGTGGTCTAATTGCAATAACACCCCTTCACTCTACGTTTGATTACGATTCCTAATTTAATTTCCCAATATAACTTGAATGTATTAATGTGAAGTCAAGTCCGCACGCCATGTAGTCGTTTTCAGTGCGTATTTTTTTGCATAGGCGGTTGAGGCAGTCCGGGCTGCCAATGTTACACTGATACATTATTTCACATGGTTGAAAACAATCCTGAATAAAACGGGGGGGGGGGGAGGGGTGGAGGTAGGGAGGGAGGGAGGGTGGTCGGTTGGTCGTCTTATCCTAGCCGCGTTTTACGCGGTGGTAGGTTTCAGCGGAAAATGGTGACAGGAGATTGGAGAGAATGGAAGTGAATGAATGAATTGGAGAATCATGGACATGACGGATCACGCGCGATTTATAATAAGGCGTATGCATTGGAGTAGCCGTGTTTTGATGTCAAATTACAATGTGGTAGGTCGCCATTATCGTCATTATTAGTTAGGCTAGACATTAAGGTTCGATGGAGATGTATTCAACTTCATTACTGCATGTTTTCTTTTTATGAACATTACTTAAGCACGTCATCGAATGTTATAGTGATTGTAATTTTCACTAAATCGTTTATTGGAATAGGTATTATTTACAGCTCTGTCGTCCTAGTGAAGGATGTATAGTGACATTGACTTTGGAAGCTCCTCATGGTATTTGCTGAAAAAGTTTAGTTAACACTGGTAGCGTAGGGGGAGATGCACTTCTTTATCATTTAAAACGCTCAAAAGTCAGCGTGTAAACGTTAAAATGTACTTCAGTGCTGGCAGGTTTTATCCTCATCCGTGCACACCTAATGGAGCCGTACTGAATGGGGCTGTTTAATATTACTTTGGTAAACTTCTGGTAAATACTTTTATTACAAGAATTTTTTTCTGAAATTTCAAAGTTGGTTTCATTCACAATGGTAAATAAGACCTTTCTCGCTACGCTTTGCAGGCGACTGGTTTTGGTATGGTTTTTAGCTTGTTGATTCCTCTCTACACAGCTTCACTTCCATAGAGACGGTTTGCCCTCCCCCCCCCCCCCCCCCTCTATTTCGTGTTTCCCGAAGTGGGATCGAATTCGCTGTATCTAAAGCATTTTGTCCTGCTTATAGTCTGAATCATTCACAACTTCCTAGCAGCTTCAATCGCTTCGTAAGCAAACTGATTTTAGATAACTTACGTAGCTTTGACACACCGGAGCTGACAATATTCATTCTTTTTACTCAGTAGAGCGCCCATTCTAGTACCATTGTCTACTATCGGAATACTAGTGACATTTGTTAGCCTTAAAAGTTCGTCAGAATCTAACAATTCGTTAAAACATAGTTGGCAGTTCAGTCATTTTAAATTTTTCTTAGGTTTCATTGATGTATTAAGAATTTCAAGCTACTCTGCGAATTGAACAGTATGTGTTTCTACTATCATGATCTTCGTACATTAAAAGTCAAAGCTCGAAAAGATTGTCAAAACATCAAATGTGTAATAATCATGAAGCCTTGCAGAGTTCTCCAATGGACAACAATGTGAATGCAATACATCCTATTTTCAAATCATATCCTCGGTACCTTCACTAAATGAGTGGATACATTGTTGACGTTTACTGTGGATTTCAGAATTAAAGGTTGCATCTCATCACTGTAGCGACTGTTCATTATGACTTGATAATGTTTTATCATAGCCTGTGAAATGTGTTATAATAAGCCGTTCTTTTCAAAACGCCATGCTTTTCCTCTTCCTGTAGGAGTGCTTCCAGACTTAAGCAGAGTCTTCGACTTGTTACAAAGGCGCTGGACATTGGTGATGCACTTGAGGAAGTCCAGAATGGCTCCGCCGATGGAAAATCTCAACGTTCGCAGAATCGCTTCATCCATCGACCCCACTTTCATCGAGTACAGAAACAGTCGTGATGGCTAGTCACTTCAAACAATCGTATCATTTTATCTGTGATCTGACACTTCTTTCACTGATTTATTAATAATAGTGTTATATTTTCCCCTTATATATCGCATCGTTATTTTCCTAGCCAAGTGTTATATGAAATCGTAGCAGTTATAATCTCTTAACCGATTCCTTTGTTGTTGAGACTTGTTTTGGGTTATTGAGAATCAGATTTGTAGCCTGTTTAGAAATGGAAGTCAAATTAATTAGATCTGTTTAAGGGCTTTACTCTCCCTCTCTCCCTTTCTGTGTTGTGGGGGTTAGAATCTTCTAGAATCTATACCTCATAGTTTGCAATAAATGCGTGGGATTCATCAGTAGGACAATTTTAGTGGATTACTTGTTACATAACTTGTTTTGAATTTTCTATTGGTTGCCGAAAGTCTCGACATTTCTTTACCCACTTTAACCAAAGGTGTCACTACTGGCAATCAATGTATTATTCAATAGGCCTGATTGCTCCTCATTTACTTTATTCCAAAAAAGATGAGTTCGTGAGGTCGCTATCCCAATTATGTGTCTCACTTCTGCTACTTGTTATAAGAAACGTGGTGTTTAAAAAGAATATGCCTATCTTTTGAGTCGTGTGAATTACAGTCGCTTAATTGTTCAATGCAGTTTTTAACCGGAAATATATATTATCGGCAAAAATCTAGCCAGATAAGTAATCATAGCCAATTAGAGACATAGGGAATTCGGATGAAGTCAAGTTCCAGAAATACTTCAGGTCATCTTTCCAACAATCCAATATTTTTCATTTCATGTCACCATTCTTTTTTTATAAAAGTTTCGATGAAGTGAATAGTCAAGTACCTTATAAGTAAGTTCGTTTTCTTATCGCCAACCTATTGTTAACAAGGACAATAGGAAGGAAAAGTAACGAATATGTGTACACATTTAGTATATTCAGCCGAGAGAATGGATTATTTAAAGTAAAATAACGGATTTCGCTCGGGACAATGGTGTCTAGAGGATTGAAAGTGGTCTTTTTATAAATTCTCAGCTGCCCGCCCTGCCTCACCTCATCCCACCCCTTTCCCATCACCTCCTTTATTAGCTTACAAGCACTCAGACACTAGGCGAAGAAAAGGGAAGTTGTTTCAGGTCAATCAACTGTCTATTGTTGAGAAAATAGGCGCATTTGTATAGAATAGAGAATGGGGATAATTAATTAGCTAACTGCTTGCCCAGTTGATGAATTCTAAACTAATAAACTTGCATATCGAATTCTGAGTTTAGAAGTCAGAAGTTCGATAGTTCAGTGAATGAGGGACAAAGTTGCGGTTTCATCGAATGCAGTGAAAGTATTTGATTAGGTCCCTCAAAGAGTCAAGGTGGAATATCTAAATTTCCTGTGAAAATGACCAGGGCTGATTTTCAACTTTCAGGAAAATTAAAGTAATCTCAAAGACAGTCGTGACACATACCTAAACCCTTCTACTCTTTCTTGGATGCCGACAGTATCAAGCTTCTACTTGTTAAGATTCAGATGTGCTCCATTCCCTATCTCAAAAAACCGCTAAATTGCAAATCCCCATTTTATCTTCTAGAGCCAGAAGTTGTGCTAGTAAGTGATAATGTCTATTTAATTTTGACACTGCATTTAAGGGGTCAGTTTCGCATAGTTTTACTGGGTTTCCCTGGACATGCTCAGAGTCCTTAATATTTAAAGAAGGAAGGCGAACTTCTTGACGCATTGTGAGACATCAGAAATGTGAAATGTTGAATTAAATGTCGCATTATTGTTTATCAATAAATTGGCGTAAATCACTTTAAAAGAAAAAAATACGTAAAATAAGGACGATTCACTCCTTGGGAAAAGCGATCCCGAAGGATAAGTTAATAACCAGACTATGAGCTCTGCTTTAATTGCAACACTTAGTGACACTTGTCCTACCGGTCTCATTTAAGGCCATCAGATTTTCACCAAATTTAGTATTTCATTCATTTTCTACAAGTGTTTACTCAGTTTATCAACTAGTTGAAAAAATGTTCATTAAAATGAGTATTATAATTATACGTAAATATCGATGTTAAAACCTAAAATCTAATATTATCATCTAGTTTTTCAAAATTTGTGTATTTAATTATTATGACATTTTATTACTAATATTAACGAAAATAAAATAGGAGTCTACTTTCCTTAGGATTTAAAAGTGCTTTCCAAGTGATACATTTAATAGCTAATCTAAAAATAATATGAATCCTTACCACTACGCAACAAGCCGTGTGGAATAAAAACAGAGCTATTATAGTCAAAATTCAGGAAACCCCCTTTTTCACGTCTGTGTAAAAAAATTATAATTTGAGCTTCTTCTTGCATCGGTGATTTTGATTGAAATGAGGATATCCAAGGCACCGGCGCTTTGTATTATGAGCCACTCCATTTTCAACGTGTTGCTGGGCCAACAACACCCCTCTCTGCTCTCGCTGTCTCTGATTTCGTAAGCGCACTAATTGCAGTGTCTGAGAGATGGCGGCTAATTAACCACCACGTTGTGCTCCGCCCGATTTAACAACTAAAATTAACTGCGTACTTGCAGACCTACCAGTGTGTCAGACATTTCCGAATTTTGACGGCGAGAAATTTTGTGCCTTAATTGAAACCTAAAATCCCCTACTTGGGGAACGTGAAAATTCGTTGAAAAATTTCATTCAGAAACAGGTAAAGTAGACTTATTGACTCATATACGAAGAAGTAAGCAAAACATTGTAAATCTACCTTGTCAAATTATGTAAATGCAGATGGGCGACAGTTGCTTTTTCACTATTTTCATTTAATAAATACTTGACTTTTCAAAAGCAGGTGGTGGTAAAAGTTGCTCTTGATCTTGTTCCAATTCATTAAAACTTGTCTTGACCTTAGTTCCACCTTCATCACTTGCTGAAAAGTCACTGTAATGATTCGGACGTCCCAACTAACTCAGCATAAATCCCCCGAAGGAGGCTTTTGGAAATAATGGCAACTTTAAGAAAAGCCTACATCGATTAGAATCTTCAGCTTATCTCGTTGACTTAAGGTTGCTTTTGATTGTTGTATAATATTAATAATATTATACAACCTCGTGAAATGAAATTGCTATGGTTGTATTTCAGTCTGTAATATGAAATTTGTGATAAATTTTCCTTAAGTTTGTCTTGTGCAGCGTATCAGTTCACTTTGGCATGTTTCCAAGGTATATTAAACTATTCCCAAGATTATATATTGCATTTAATCCTTTGAATTAATTTACGATTTGTATTTCACCGACATTCATTGCTTCTCCACACCTGTTGATCTTACAGAGGTTCCTTCGAATGCGCTTCATTTTATTGAGGCGGTACAACGCATATGTTCATATCAGCTGAAAAAATTTATAATCAACACCTGTTCCTCCTCATGCTTTATTCCCTCTCATCATCTCACTTTAATAAGGATAAAAATATCTCACTGAAAACTGTAATCATGAAAATTTCCCATTATTTTTTGCGCTACAATTCATATACTTGGATGCGTTGCCATTGTACTGAATCTGATTCAACTTTTCATGTTTACTGGCTTGCCATGTACGCATAGTCTCTTAAACTACGCGTTCGTCCGTTTTCTCTTCACCCCAAAATTACTGATTGTAGCATTATTCATATAATACTGTGAACATATTTTTTTCTATGATAATTGCCATCTACCTTTGGGTCTCGTTTTATTGTTAGAGAGCTGAAAACGAAGAACGACGCCGTACGCACTGCTATGACTAACTGTCCCACAGTCATTTTAACATGAAACCGGTATTTAGAAGTCTGGGAACACCCCCGTATCCCAAATATTTATTTTATTTCAAATGACAGGTGTTATGATAGGTATCATTAGCCCTTTAGCTGACTTCGGGTTTCATAGAGAGGAGGAGCAACATCAAAGTGGCAAAAAGACGAGAATAGAACAGAATAATGATTCACAGATTTAAAGGAGACAGACTAGCACAAGGGCAAAGAAAGGGTCAGTTGAGTACAGAGGAAGTGGTTGAATATGACATAGATTCGGGTCATGGTAGCTTGAAGTCAGAAGTCAACTACCGACTGATAGACATTTTTGCCGTATGAGTATACGTTGCCCAGGGTGCACCACGTGGAGGTAAGTTTATCGCACACCCCATATCCCACATACTAAGTATTGTTGATGATTTATATTTTATCAAAGATGGGAGTATAATTATAGATCACACCGTTGGAAGAAAAGGATTTATTTTCAGCTTATATTTTAATTTTGTTCCAAAATTATTAAAAATAGTATTTCATTTTTCTTTATTCCAAGTCGTTATGGATGTCAAATTTTGTGTTCTTGGTAAGCAAATATGTTTGAGGCTTTTCACCCTCCTTTTTTGTACATTTTTATTTTGTTAAAGGACTTCAACTTTAATTTGGCGGATTTGACATATATCTACGACTTTCTCAACAGGAAATAGTCCTGCTCATCCCTCCTCATTGACTGTTTTGTTTGTGCTTGTTTGTGTACTTATTTGTCTCCAGCTCCCCTTGTATCTTCTAATAATCGCGGTAAATACAAGCAGGAAATCCTTATTTACCTCTATATCTCTTTGAACAATGTTTGCTTTTATCAAAATAATATAATCTAAATTTATTGCCAAAATTGCTTTGAGATTCAATTTAATTAAAATGGCAAAAGTAGCAATTATCCCATTAATGAAGGAATTTATTTTAAATATTTGTTTGTTTTTGCTTTTTAATTGGGAACGAAACTTATTGGCATTGAATTGTAGTATTCCTGCTTAGTAATTCTGTATTTATTACTAATTGGATATGAAGTTAAGTAAGCAAAATATAACAACGATATAATAAATTTATCATCAAATTCATAAACTGATTTACTGTTTACCATTGACATCGAAATGAGAGCTTTTAACGTATAGAGAACAGTGCTTAGGGTTCGAATGGAAGAACGCGTTGTAAGTTGTCATTAAAATTGAAATTAGGG